GGAGAAGACCTTCTTTGACTTTCTTGAGTAGACATCATGCTTCCATCATCACCTCCTCTCCCAGTTTGAGCAGGGAAGTTTTCTTGTCCCTGTGTGGTCAAACAAGGTCCACAAATTATTGTTTTTTTATGTGTGCAGAGACGGTATCCTAGAGATCATTAACTTACTGAGTTCACTGGGCAGGATGTAGGTCTCATACCACCATTGTTTTGTTGCTTTGGGGCATGTCTCATGCTTCGGTTGCATGGTATTATTGCTAAGCAAGTCTGCTTGGTTTTGTTGTTAAACAAACCTGCTTTCTTGAGTAATCTTTCATTTACAGGGGTCTCCCATATTTTTTCTGCTTACAATCCCCGAGTAGGATTAACCATTTAACCACCTACTTTGACCCTTTACTCTCTCCCTATCAGAAGTATATTACTTTGGAAGGAACTTCAAAAACACTACATTCTCCTTAGTTTGAGAAATTAATTTTTAAAAAGAGGATGTAAGTTTAATGGATGATTTTAGAAACATTAACAAGCCGATAAAAGTCAAAACATTTGGTAGCTACTGTGTGCCAGAGACACAGGGTAATCAGACAATTGCCTAAGGAAGCAGTAATAGTGGAGGTAGAGTCAGAACCCAGTCATTTTGGTTTTTGAGTCTGTGCTTTTAGCTACTATGCAGAGAAGCTGCTTAGCAGTGCCTGGTAAATAAGAAGTGCTCAATAAATGGAAGATATACTGTAATTTTCATATGAGTCTAAGGCTTGGGATGCTTCTCTATTCCTAGGATCACTTCTATAATATTGAAAGACCTGTAGAAACAGAGATATAAAATAAATAACTATATCACTTGCCTCTGTTATTTTTTAAAAAAGCTAAATTGAGTAGAAATAAATATCTAGGAATGAAGAAAATAGTAAAACCTTGGATTAAAAAATAACTTAGTAATTATTGGATTTGTGTTTATACAGATTACCTTACTAGTCTCTGGGATGAAAGAAGTAACTAAAATTAATAAGACATAGGTCCTGCCTATGAAGGAGCTTACAGCCTAATAATGGTCACAGAGAGTGACAGAGTGGATGCAGAAATGCCAATCATGCCCCAGTGATGGAACATGCTAAATTTGAAGTTCCAAAGTTGAATCCTAGTGTTATAGTAGCTGTGTGCTAAGAGCAAATCCTGTGAGCACTCCAAATCTCAGGGTTTGCTTTTTTTTTTTTTTTTTAATTTTTCTTGGACTGGTGGTAACTAGTATTGTTTTCTAAATCTTTAAAATGGACATAATTATGCATAATTCAAAATGCTTAATGGGAATTAAATAATGCAAAGTAATCACTTACTCTGTCTTTAGCAGTGAATAAATGTTGAGCAAAGAGCTACTGTGCCACATGAAGCTTTGAAAACTTACCTGTGTGGAGCACTCACTGACAGACTCCCACCCTCCTGCTGGAGGCAGTGGGGGTACCCTTTAGGTGCAGTGCCAGGGTCTTGCAGAAGCAAAGTAGGCTCAAGCCTAGTTGCTCTTCAGAATGTTGAGCTGAAGAACAAGGGGCAGTTGCCCCTTTGGAGGCCAGAGCAAGGCTTTTATTCCCCTAATATCTTTTTTTCTTAATGGAGACTCAAAATAAAGTCTGTGCTTGTGTTACATGGTTAGGAGCTCTGATGAGAGGATCATCAGAGCTATTAAGAACACCACAATCTCAGAACACTAAAGCCTTTATATGAGTACACCAAGTGATTTTAACATAGAGTGAGGAGAGAGGTGCGCTGGAGTAGTGATCTCTTAGGTTCTGTAGGATAGATGTCAAAGGTCTGCCTAGACTCACACCCACTAGTCCACACCACTGGGTATGTTTGTTAACAGTGTTTAGAACCGTATTATAGAGGGTTTTAAACTAAGTAAGTGTCTGTGAGCAGTAGGGAATTAATGAAGATTTTTATATAAGGCAATGTGTTGAGAGCAATGCTCTAGGGGAAAAAAAAAATGTATCCTTTAGTTGTCTCTATATAGTAGAAGGAGGGCAAAGAGGGAACTAGAAGTGGGGTATGAACAAGTGAAACTGAGTAAGATGCACTCCAAGCTGTAATAATATTCCAACAGAATTATAGGAATATCGTCCTTGTTTTTTTTAATATAGGATAATTAACAAAGAAACATGGGCCATAATGCAGATAGGAAAAGGATGCTATTGAATTCAGAAACAGGTTGAAATGAAATTTAATTCTCACATAGTAATTACATGCTATATGACAAGGAAGGTTCTATCTAGGTGAAGGTTCTATTTGCTGTAAGTTAATGTGTCAAAAGCACACCAGTTTCATAACTCCTACCAACGGGTGAACAAAAAAGAAACTACAGGAGAAATATATCTTTCCTATTAGTCCTCTCCCTTTAAGAAACATAAACAACAGCAACAGAACTACCACTTACCAATTTCTTGGGCTTTCTTTAAAAACATTTATAATTATCTGTTAACTTGGCATGTGCCTGACCCCTACTGGAGACTAACGACTTTCACAGGCTCCTAGGGAAAAGCAGAGGCCTCCAGGAATGCAGAGTCAAGGCGAAAAGAGTCTCCTCTGCCCCAGTCTTTGCATCTTGTAATGCTTACACACCACATGAAATTACAGGATGAGGTGTTTTCTTGCAAATTATCAGTCAGTCCCTGAAGAGATTAATAGAGGTACAGTTTTTCATAAAGAATTCAAAGTTCCCTGTGAATAACTTGGATGCTAACTTTTCCAATATGTCACGTGAATGTGAATGGACAATCTCAAGTATTTAGATTCATGGACTGCACATGGTAATTAATCTCACTGAGTTTATATACAAAAGGTTAAGCTGTCATTCTTATTGATGTGAGTCATAACAAAGGCAAGTCATTAAATCTTTGCTATCAAATTGTTGTGGCTTTTTCTTTGCTGATTTTAAAGAATATCCGAGCTAAATTATGTCCTGAGGGGCTTGATTTTCAGCCTTAATTTTCTAAATCCGTATCTTCCTTTGGAATTTGGGAAAATTTCCAAATTAATGTTAATAAAGATTTACAAAATCCTTGGAGGAAGAGTTCTTCTAACCATGAAATCAATAGTTAAATTACCAGGATTAAATATATGTTTTCATTTAAAAACATGTGCCCATGGAAGAATTACTTCAAAGTTTATTTTAGAAGAGAAACCCAAGTGTATGTAAACATAGTGAACTTCCATAGAGTCTTATAGACACTCTTTGAATGTTTAACGACTAAATGAATGGATCAACAAGAAAGCAGCTTAGTGCTTTAAGAGCTTTAAGAACTGTAATGCAGATTTGTTAAACTATGCATCTTTAAAGCCCCATCCCAAGGACGAGCCGTTTAAGGAGGCAGATGTTACACCTTGATATCAAGAGGAGCCCAATAGGAGTTAGCTAGATCCCCAAAAGGGAGAGGCTAGCATGGACAGCCACATCCCCTGGGAAATAGCTACAATTTATGGTGATAAATGTTTGCTAAATCGAATGGTAGTAAACACAGTGTCTGTGCTGGAAACATGACTTTTTTCCCAAGGTCTTTGATGGAAGACTGTCTTCTAGGTAAAACAGCCTTGTAGCATGCTACTTTTAGCAGTTGGAACTCAAACATATGGAGTCAGCACTGGGTTTCCCCTATAGATCTCCATCCCATAGAGCCTGAAGCCCTGCATAGAGGTTCTGTGGCAGGAGTTACTCTCAGGTGCCTTTGCTAATTCAGGGAGCAGCGCTGCTGAAATCTCAGTGTGTGTACAAATTACCTGAGAATCTTTTTTGAATGAAGGGTCTGAATTTTTTACCTCCAGATGGGGCCTGAGACTTCATTGCTAACCAGATGCTAGGTGATGTTGAAGATACTGATCCATGGATCACACTCTGAGCATCAAGGTCATAAGAAGTGGATTTTAAGCAATTAGAATAAGCAGATATGATATGAGGGAAGAGCACTGGAACTTGACTCAGAGTCCTAGTTATGTGAACATGATGAGTCACTTAACTTTTCTGAATCCAAATTTTCAGATTAGAAAAATGAGTATGGTAAGACAATAATACTTGCTGCATGGGCTATGTGCCCTTCATAGTTCTATGGGCTCTATTCCTTATTCCACCTCTGTTGTCAATTACAGTGTCTAGAGTTTAGCAAGTGGTCAGTGTTTGTGACATTGAATTGACAGCAAATTTGATCACTGCCAGTGTACATTTTCGGTGTTTGTGACATTGTATTGACAGCAAATTTGATCACTGCCAGTGTACATTTTCGGCTTCTAAAACACTGATGTTATACTAATGACCCAGTGTTTCCCCATGGCACTAACAGGAAAGAGAATTTTCACCCAAAATAATGATAATAACTTTCAGGCCTTGAGCCCTCTTTGAATGAAAAATGTAATCACTGGGAGAAAACTAAAATAAAGAAGACCATCAGACTAATTTTCAATAAAAATAGGAGGATAAAATAGCTGGTCATTCTTTGCCAGCCAGTATCTCATAATTTCACAAATTATGTGTAAGAGCTATCTCTCTTAGATAGAAAAGCAAAGATGGACATGGGCAGTTTGGCTGGCTTGCTTCTATTAGGAGCCCAGCCTGCAATGGTGTAGTTAGTATGAGAGGGGCTTGAACCATCCTCCACATTATAAGGTGACTCCCGTGCCGCCCAGGTCATGTGCCCAAAATTTCTCCTCTGAAAGTTAAACTTTCTATTTAATCAATTTATAAAATTTTAAATAGAGTTCTCAAAAAGTGCATAGCAGGAAATGGAAGGTAGACAAATCAGTGAATAATCTGCAGCATCATTTACATCTTAACATCTCTTTCCACTGAGAATTCAGAGACAAAAACTTGTTAGCACCTGGAGGAAGTCTAGTTTAATTTATTTGCAGTAAAATCCAGAGTGAATCCATTAATCTTTGTTAAAAGAAATGAGATTTTCAAGTCTAATCAGAGGATTTAAAGTGTTATTAAAAGATGTCTTTTTTTTCCCCTCTTATAATCTATAGGTCTCAGGAGAAAAAGGAAGAGGCTATCACCTTACTGAAGGATTCCATTAAATATGGTCCAGAGTTTGCAGATGCATATTCAAGCTTAGCTTCATTATTGGCTGAGCAGGTAATTGTTTCCATTTAGTTTCATGTAATATTTTCTTAAGTGTTTCTGTTGAAGGTATAAATTAATGTCATAATACACAGATTTTTATATCATTTAATTTGTAAGTTCATAATGGACAACTAATCTGTATATCAGTTTTCTTCTTGATAGAAATCACAAATCTAGGTTTCTCACTCCAGTATTCTTTGTGCACGTATGGGGTCTCTAAACTAAGATGGTCCATTATAAACCACTACTAAATTCTTCATCACTTTGGGACAAAATACGTCATGAACAGTACGTGATATTTGCTTGTTTAATTACTACTCATTTATATTTTTCTGGGGAATTGCTAATGGACTAAGATCTCTGAACTCAATATGGAAACAATTACCAATAATCTTATAGATCCTATGTCTTAATACCTATCAGAAGATTACAGAGTCACATAGGACAGGCTCCTAAGAGAGAACATTTTTCATGGCATAAAACAGAGAAGTATTTTGATTTCCCCACTTTTCACTGTATCTAAAATTCCCAGGTGGCTCAGTGGTGAAAGAATCCACCTGCCAATGCAAGAGATGTGGGTTCAATCCCTGGGTCAGGAAGATGCCCTGGAGGAGGAAATGGCAACCCACTCTAGTATTCTTGCCTGGGAAATCCTTGGACAGAGGAGCCTGGCGGGCCACAGTCCATGGGGTTGCAAAGAGTCAGACACAACTGACTATGCATGCAAGCTCCTGGCTGCAAACCATTTGATCCCACATTTCAGTGTTCTGGATGCATGCCCCCTACTGTGGGAAAACAAATATAAGTTGTCTTCTCTAAATTGATGATAGAGTTTTGTTGACACACATAAGTGCCCTCAATAGAAGGTAGATTCTGCTATTACATAATTTCAGATTGTCTTTAAAATTAAACTCAAACTCAACACCTTTGAAAGATGCCCTCCAGCATGGACTTAAATGAAATGAATGATTTGATGTTGTCAGGTACAGGGGGGTGCAATTTGCATTTGAAAAACCTTGGAGATTTCACCAGGAAACAAAATTAGGACGTTCAGTGGCTATTTAAGTGTCAGAAATGATAGATCTAGTTGTCTTGCTCTGCTAGTCTCCATATAGTGTAGGTGGGCTTTAGACAAAGGCCTGTGTCTCCAGTGGGTGATTTTAATGCATGTTTTAGCACAAAGTTTAAGCTAAAATGATGATGCTCATATTTTATGGTAGACATGGCTGTCCTCAGCTGCCTTGGTTTGTGCTGAAGCAGACACAGTTGGAGTTTTCTGGAGAAAAGATTCCATCATTGTTCCCTTTTCTCACTTCATCCTGGCTCCTTCATTTTCATAGGAAGACCCTCCCCTACCTCTGCCTGGCTGGGTGGCTTGCAGCTACTCAGACAAGCCACACACAGAGTTATGGCCTTTGTACTAACTGTGCCTTTTGCCTGAAGCACTGTTCTCCCAGATATCTTAGAGTTTCTTTCCTCATCTCATGCTGGTTTTATTTCTGTATGGGAGGACTATCTATGATTACTCTTTTGAAACAACTCCTTCACTGCCCCACACGTTCTTTGATTTCTTTCCAAAGCATTCATCACCATCTAACATACATTTATTTATGTCTGTGATCTTTCTCCCACCACCAGAATATTTCTGTGATCCAATCTCCTTGAGAATGGCTGTCTTTTTTATTCATGACTCCTCCCCCATGTCTGTCACATTGTATGCAGTAAGTAAATACTGAGTGAATGAAAAGTGAAAGTCACTCCGTCTTGTCTGACTCTTTGTGATCTCATGGACTATACAATCTGTGGAATTCTTCAGGCCAGAATACTGGAGTGGGTAGCCTCTCCCTTCTCCAGGGATCAAACCCAGGGATCAAACCCAGGTCTCCCGCATTGCAGGCGGATTCTTTATCGGAGCCACAAGATGAATGGATATGATCTGAAGTCCATGTAAGCCCTCCAGTCCAGCACAGGACCAAGGTTTCATTCATCTTTAAAGTAGGGCTGGGCATGTGAGGAACAGTGTTTCGTGTAATGAACTGTGCCTCAGGGTCATGCCCTTGTCCCTGTAATGAAGGACAGTGTGAGAACAGCCAGGTGAAGTTACTTCTTCCAGCCGCAGACCAGGGTGGGGTTGAGGCCAGCACCTGCTCCATTGTTCAGTGGCTTCTGGATGAGGACTCAAGGGAAAATTTCTCTCATGGTTCAATATTCGGAATAGCTAGGTTTCTCCTGAACTACAAGTTTTTTGCTTTTATTTTTTAATCTAATGCATGAAAAATCTTACAAATGCTAAGAAAATCAATTCTAGCTTTGTCTCCAGTGGCCCCACCCCCAAAAACCGCCATCGACAGGATAGGCTACTTTTCTGTGTGTACTGCTTTTACTGGGTTTATCATTTTCCTTAACAGTTTGTTTTATTCAATTTGTGTTTTCTATTTTTGAAAGCTGCTTCAATTTTCTGTAAATGAATAAAGCACTGCATTAAAATTGGGCTTTCCTAGTAGCTCAGTTGGTAAAGAATCCACCTGCAATGCAGGAGACCCTGTTTTAATTCCTGGGTCGGGAAGATCCCCTGGAGAAGGGATTGGCTACCCGCTTCAGTATTCTTGGGCTTCCTTTGTGGCTCAGCTGGTAAAGAATCTGCCTATAATGCAGGAGACCTGGGTTCGATCCCTGGGTTGGGAAGATCCCCTGGAGAAGGGATTCAGTATTCTGGCGTGGAGAATTCCAAGGACTGTGTAGTCCATGGGGTCACAAAGAGGTGGACACGACCGAGCAACTTTCACTTTCAAGATAGTCACATCTTTTTTTTCTTCACAACTTGCCAGGACATACAATAAACATTTAATTGTTCTTCTTGATGATAATTACCCTGAAGGTAAAAGACAATGTCACTCACCTAATACCAGTGATAACAAGGTATGTTGTTTTAGGGGGAGCTCTTTACTGACACTGACACAGTTCCATCTCCCTGTAATGCCATTTTTTCTTTCTCTCTTTCTAAATCATCCCCATTTTTCAAGATTCAATTCACCTTTCACTTCCTCCGCCAACACTCACCTGCCTCCCCATCTCATGGGGAGTTAGATTTCCTTGGAGCTTCTATGAAATCTTCAGGAACATGCATCAACTCACAAACCAATCACATATTTTTATTTCTTGAATTAATATCTGAACTATATAATGTAAACAGTTAATCAGGTTTATTTTTCCTCACAAAACTGCAAGTTTCTTTAAGAAAAGCCATGTCTTTGTATGCATATTGCTTCCCTAGGGTTCAGGGTACTTCACTGTATAATACAAGCCAGGCAAGCATACATGCATCATCTCTGGACTTAATGCACTTCGGGGTCAGTTCCCCAAATTAGGAGAATTTGACAGTGAATCAGGTAGACTATTCTAGATCCCACTTCCTAGTAATACCTGTGCAAACTTGAGTGAGAAGTGTTCTACCTCTATGGGCCTCAGTTTCCAAATCTAAAATTGATAACTACTCTAAATAACCTTCCCTAACTCTTACTGATCTAACATTTTAAGAGTGTCTAAAAGTACCTCCTTTAAAGTCAACTAAGTGCTAATGAACTTTTTCCTGAATAACTTAAGGCTTCACTTCAATTAGTGCTGTTGTTTCTATACAAATAAAGTATTAACATGTTAATATTGTGAAAAGCGATTTGCCTTAGTAAATATCCAAAAGTTTCAAATTGTATTCCTTTTGTAAATTGGTGAACTCCAAGTTCATGAAAAGTTATTTTATTAAAAATGATGACAATGTTTGGTGACACTGAAATTTTAGTCCATTCATCAATATCTTAATATTGCCAAATTTTATAGACATATATATCTATAAAACATAGTATTAATACATATGTTTAAAAAGGGCAACATATATACATTTCCCCACTTAAAATCTTTAAGTGCCTTATTTAAAATCAATTATGTGGTAAATTTAATTTTTGAGAACCATAATGGCAAATTGATGTAACATTATTGCATGCCACATAGTTAAAGTTATAAACAAGTTTTAAGAAAAAACAAATTATGACTATGGCCACGAGCTTTCCTTACATACAAAGATCACATCTTTTGCCAGCCTTTCTTATTCTCGATTCGAGTGTGAAATACTATGAACTTGAAGAATGTAATTGAAAGATTGAAAGGTTCTTCTGCTCCTTTGGGCAATTGATTTTAACATCAGAGAGAGCTCACAAGAGAGTAGCTGTTGGGCATAACTCAGGATTGCTTTCGTTCTCTTACTTTCAGCATCTTACCTTCATGCTTTGAAGTATTTAATAAAAGAATGCTTCAGATGCACAAGCATCAAGCTTGTATCCTTTGTTAGCAAATAAATTCATTTCTTGATAGCACAACTTTATTTATTCCAGAAAGCAAACCATAGTCGATCTGTAACACACTGGTAACCCTTCCGTCACTTTACTGGTCATCTTCCAGGACCACCACATGTGCACGTGCCCAGCCCATGCTCACTGTGGTTGCAGTGGCCCACAGTGTTAGAGAACCCTTTTCTGTATGGAGTTGAAATCAACAGTCCTGTGATTTGCTCCCCCTGGGCTGAGCCCAAGGGATAGCTTATTGAGCAGTTTTTAGATTTTTGGGTTTTTTAATCTATTTAGTCTTAATTGGAAGGTATTGCTTTACAATACTGTGTTGATTTCTGCCATACATCAACATAATCCAATCATAGGTATACATATATCTCCTCCCTCTTGAACCCATTAGAACTGACTCAAATGCATTCCTTTTCATGGCTGAGTAATATTCCATGGTTTATGAGCACAACCACCTTGTCATTTTCTGAACAACCTTTTCTATAATAAACTTGCTTCTAGTTGACCCTGATTTCTAAATACTTTCCTTCTGGTCATGTGCTTTACATAGGCTCTGGATTGTCCATTTTCTCTGTGACAAAATGGCTCCCAAATGGAACTGGTTTCTTAAATATAGTTCAGTAATTTCAGGAGGACAAGAAATACTTTCCTGGCTTGAGAGTA